CTCAGCACTGACCCTCCGACAGTGCGGCGCTCCCTCAGCACTGACCCCCCGACAGTTATTTTCTGTAATAAGCACTGTGAGCACTAGGCTGGGCCTGTGGAACTGGAGGTTAATATGGATTGGGCAGGAACCGCAGGACATCTGTGTGCCATTTGGGATTTTAATCTGACAATTTCCTGACCATTAGCGATTTATTGTACGACTTTTGTTTCAGATTTATCTTTAAACAAAATTCAACCTGAAACTACTTACAGAAGCTCAAAGTCTGCTGGGTTACTTGTCCAGGTGACCAGATCCCTGTTTTAAATATACATTGGCTGTGACACAGAAAGAGGCCATTTGGGACATCATGTGGATACCAGCAGTTTTCAAAAGCAGCTCACCCAGTTCCTCTTCCCCTGTAGCACTGCAAATATCTTCCAGTCTGATAATTAATCAATTCCCTTCAACAGCCCCAGTGGAACCTACCTCCACCACACTCTCTGGAAGCACACTGCAGATAGTAAAATAGTCCCCACAGAACACTGGAAGACTGTCCAGGGAAGGGATTATTTGCAAAATACTTTAATCCTGAAAACTTGTCGATGGTGTGAGGGAGGGATTGCACTCTTGGCAATGGTGAGGCAGTTTAAGCAACAGGTGTTTATTGTAAAGACTCTCTCTCTCTCCTACCTTTACAGAGTAACCTGCAATAAGCAGACACTCCAGATCCCAGTTTTCACCGTTTCACCAAATTCTCTTCCTCTTTCTAACCCAGAGCAACTTTTCTGTTCTGTGGCCAGAGTTTGATCACTGATTTGGTATTAACCGAGTAAATCGTCATTCGTCCAGACTTATAGTAATAAGCAGAAATAGGCCATTCAGCCCATTGGGTCTACTCTGATTTCGGTAACACCATGGATAGTCTGATCATCCTGAAGTCCACTTTGCTGCCTTTTGCCCAATGACCGTTACTTCCTCAGTGATTACTATATGTTGTTGCTTGATTTCTAAAAAATATTGAGGCACTGGAGAGGGTGCAGAGAAGATTGACTGGATGACACCAGAAATGCTTGGGTAAAAGCCATCACAAAACCATTGATGTTTCCATTGATCTAATTCATTAATGTCCTTCAGGAAAGGAAGTCTGCCTTCCTCACCTAGTCTGCCTCCATGTGACTCCAGACCCAAGCAATGTGGTTGAGGCGGCATGGTGGCTCAGTGGTTAGCACTACTGCCTCACTGTGCCAGGGACCCAGATTCAATTCCACCCTTTGGTGACTGTCTCTGTGGAGTTTGCACATTTTACCCGTGTCTCCGGATGCTCCGGTTTCCTCCCACAGTCCAAAGATGTGCAGGTTAGGTGGATTGGCCATAGGAAATGCAGGGTTACTGAGATAGGGTAGGTGCTGGGTCTGGGTGGGATGCTCTTTGGATGGTTAGTATTGACTCGATGGGCTGAATGGCCTGCTTCCACACTGTAAGGATTCTATGATAACCCTCAACTGCTCTCTGAAATCGTCGAGCAAGCCACTCAGTTGTGCCAATCACTACAAAATCTCAAAGAAATGAAACCGGATGGATCACCTGGCATCGATCCAGGCACAGGAAAAGACAACAGCAGAAACAGCCCTGTCAACCCTGCAAAGTCCTCCTCACTAACAATCTGGAGGCTGGTGCAAAAATGGGGAGAGCTGTCTCATAGAGTAGTCAAGCAACAGCCTGATATTGTCTGTAAGGTATGATTCTGTGAGTATGGCAATGTCCCAGACACCACCATCACCATCTGTGTCCCACCAGCAGGACAGGCCCAGCAGAGGGGGTGACACAGTGGGATACAATTGGGAGGGAGTTCCTCTGGGAGTCCTCAACATTGACTCCGGACCCCATGAAGTCTCATATCTTCAGGTTTAAACATCAGCAAGGAAGCCTCCTGCTGATTACCACACACTGTCCTCCCTCAGCTGATGAATCTGTACTCCTCCATGTTGAACAACACTTGGAGGAAGCACTGAGGACAGCAAGGGCACAAAATGTACTCTGGGTGGGGGATTTCAGTGTCCACCACCAAGAGTGGCTCAGCAACAGTACTACTGATCGAGCTGGTTGGGTCCTAAAGGACATCGCTGCTAGACAGTAGTACCACTCCAATACATCACAGTAAAATGATGATCTACTCTCGATCATCAGTAAAGTGATGGAAGGTGTCAGTAACAGCGCTATCAAGCAGCACCTGCTCAGCAATAACCTGCTCAGTGACACCCAGTTTGGGTTCCACCAGGGCCACTCAGCTCTTGACCTCATTACAGCCTTGGTTCAAACATGGACAAAAGAGCTGAAATTCAGAGGTGAGGGGAGAGTGACAGCCCCTGGCATCAAGGCTGCATTCAATTGAGTGTTGCATCATGAAGCTGTGGCAAAACTGGAATCAATGGGTATTGGGGGAAAAATGTCAGCTGGTTGGAGTCATACCTGACACATAGGAAGATGGTTGTGGTTGTTGGAGGTCAGTCATCTCAGCTCCAGGACATCTCTGCAGGAGTTCCTCAGGGTAGTGTCCTAGGCTCAAACATCTTCAGCTGCTTCATCAATGACCTTCCCTCCATCATAAGGTCAGAAGTGGGGATGTTCTTCGATGATTGCACAATGTTCAGCACCATTCGTGACTCCTTAGATACTGAAGCAGTCCGTGTTCAAATACAACAAGATCTGGACAATATCCAGGCTTGCGCTGACATGGCTACAAAGGGAGGCAATACCCTGAAGGTATTTCCAACAGACTGCTAATCTAGAGACCCAAGCAATTTTCTGGGGGCCCAGGTTCGAATCCTGCCATGGCAGATGGTGGAATTTGAATTCAATTAAAATATCTGGAAATAAGAGGCTAACGATGACCATGAATCCATTGTTCGTTATTGGAAAAACCCATCTGGTTCACTCATGTTCTTTAGGAAAGGAAACTGCCATCCTTACCTGGTCTGGTTAACATGTGACTCCAGACCCACAGCAATGTGGCTGACTCTTAACTGCCCTCTGGGCAATTAGGGATGGGCAATAAATGCTGCCTACCCAGCGACACCCTCATCCCGTGAATGAATTTTTAAAAAGTGGAAAGGAACATTCACGCCACACAAATGCCAGGCTATGACCATCACCAGTAAGAGACAATCTAACCAGCACCCCTTGATATTCAATGGTGTTACCATCATTGAATCCCCCACTATCAACATCCTTGGGGTTATCATTGACCAGAAACTCAACTGGACTCACCACATAAACACAGTGGCTGCACGAGCAGGTCAAAAGCTAGGAATCCTGTAGTGAGTACCTCACGTTCTGACTCCCCAAAGCCTGTCCACCATCTACAAGGCACAAGTCAGGAGTGTGATGGAATACTCCCCACTTGCCTGGATGGGGGCTGCCCCAACAACTCTCAACAAACTTGACACCATCCAGGACAAAGAAGCCCACAAGCATCCACTCCCTCCACCACTGACACTTAACAATACACACTGCTGCTATCTACAAGATGCACTGCACAAATTCACCAAGGTCCCTTAGACAGCACCTTCCAAACCTATAGCCACTTCCATCTCGAAGGACAAAGGCAGCAGGTACACAGAAACACCACCACCTTCAAGTTGCCCTCCAAGCCACTCACCATCCTGACTTGGATATATATCACCTTCAGTGTCACTGGGTCAGAATCCTGGAATTCCCGCCCTAAGGGCATTGGGGGTCTACCTACAGCACATGGACTGCAGCGGTTCAAGAAGGCAGCTCACCTTCACCTTCTCAAGGGGCAACTAGGGACAGGCAATAAATGTTGCCCCAGCCAGTAATGTCCATGAGTGAATAAGAAAAAAATTTAAAGGGAAAGCAGACAGTAATCAAGAGACAGGGGAATTGTGGGTTATGATGGTAGATTCAGATGAGAACGGAGGGAGGACATTCCCCAGAATGAACTGTTTGGCCTGTTTTATGCCATATACCATTTATAATCCTCCAATGTGAAGGGGAGACTATGGTCAGTCAGGTCCAGACACAATGCACATGCACCCACAT